TCTTCCCCCCTTACCTGGTGTTGGTCTGGGCTGCGGCTCCCGGGCCGGCTCGTGTTGGCGGCGGGCTATCGGGCGGCTCAGTCCATTGGTAGCTCCCAGGAAAGGGGGGTCCGGGGAAGGGGAGGGAAGCGAGCGAGTCGCGGCGGCAGCAGACACAGGGCAAACACTAAAGAGAATGAGCGGGGCCAGCTCCGGCCGGGAAGGAAGTGACGGCACCACACGGGGAGGCAGGGGAAGGGGGAGGAGCCGCGTCCTTGGCAGCTATTTATAGCACCGCCCAGCACCACGCATGCTGTGGATTTTCTAGTTGGCCGGCTTTTAGAGAGTTTTGCGTTGTCGCACGAATGACTACCGCACCCAGCATGCTCCTGGGTAGTCCGGCGCTACCGGAACACGTGTCTGTCTGTCAGTGTCTCACGGCTCCGCTCCTTTCCTCGGAAATTAAAAAAAACTATACTTCCCAGCATGCTCCATTCCCTCGAGAGGTGACAGCTCTTTCTTTCTCGGGCATCGTCCCCTATACGTCTTTTGCCACGTGCTTCCTAAAGCCCTACATCTCCCAGCGTGCATTGCTTCTTTACCGTCGGCGGGAGGGGGCGTGGTTGCAGGTCCCGTACGCCGGGCGGAAGAGCGCGCTTGTTGGTGGGACTCGCGCTGGGCTGGGAAGCGGGAGCGTTTGCGTGCGCGGAAAGGCTCCCGTTGCCGGACCTGGCAGGGCTCGGCTTGCTGGCCTAAGCAGTGTCGAGTGTAGCGCCTTTTAAATGCAGCGAGATTCAGTTCCTCTATTTTTTTTTTTAAAGCACCGTTGGGCGCTGAGAAGGCAAAGCCACGATTTAAAGTTGGATAATAGAATACATTAATTATGACCAACCGTAATAAAACAGTAGAGGGTGCAAGTTTTCCACTTCTCTGGAACGCCTGATTTTAAAGAGTGCTGGAGAACTTAACAGCATGAGAGGCAGTTTTGGGTCAGATTTGGCTGTTTGGCTCAGCTTCAGCTTGATCTGGAGAAGCTAAGAGGGATCGCATCTGAGTTGGTATTTGGATAGGAGACCACCAAGAAATCCCAGGGAAATTTTAAAAAAGTTTTTTGGATGAAGGCAGCGGCGAACTCTTCCACGCTGTTGTCCATGAAGTCCCCTGGAGCCAAGCTCCACTCCTAGACTTAATTGTTATCCAGCTCTAGAATTTCGGCTTTTTTCCTCTTAATAATCCTACAGAGGGTTGCAACCTGTTTTTTTTTTTTCTCTTCGAAATGAAATGACCGAAGAATCAAGATCGTTCAAAATCCTCTTTCAGGTGAATTAGAGTCGCCAGCCCAATCCTCTCCAGCTCTTTTTATTTTCTTAGTTGGACCTGACCCAGTTTAAATCAGGTAAACCCTTTTCTTTTTAAAATTGTTCCCGGGGAGGGGGGGAAAGGAGAACTTTCATGAGCGTGAGAGAGAAAGATTTGTTAGGGAGAGGAGGGAGCGAGTTGTTTTACTTCTGTCCTCGCGAAGCCATGGGGGATTCTGGGTCGTGTAGGCTCCCCACGCATTCAAAAGCTGCTGATTCAAGCATGCTGCTCTGTCGAAAGCAGATCGATGGCAGGACCATCGTAAAGTGCTTGTGTGGCAAAGGGGCAGCGCTCTGTTGTTGACTGAGGCGACGTAATAGCGCTCAGCAGCCCAAGTGTTCAGCGGTGGAGATTGCAGCGAGCTCTGCCTCGGCCCCGTTTGTTCATTTCAGGCACTGACTCAAAGCGAGTCGGTGCGGTTCTTGCGTCGCCTGGCGAAGCGCGATCCTAAAACGCTGCTCTTCTCCTCCTTCCAGAAGTAGGCACTTTTGCCTACAGTGGAATTTTGCGTGTGACCTTAGGCCTCATTTTAGCCAACCGTGAGCCCTGCTGTGTCTGCCGCACAGAGCTGTGCACGTAAAAGGGGAAGCCTTCCCGTGGCCTCCTCGAATTCGTAAAGATAGGGCAGGACAGAATTGTGAGAAGAGAAGGAGCCCTGCCTTTTTCTTTATCCAAAGCATGCTTTGAGCAAGGACTTTCAAGCTTCAGTCAGATTGAAAGAGGCTTCTGTTAGACATGCAATACTTGCTTTGGAATATTATACAAAGCATTCAGTTTTTAGGACATGAATGCCAACTTTGGGGTTTGCTTCTGCTACTTTAAAAAAATCATCGTGCATCTTTGGATGGAATTGAGGGAAATGGGGCAGGTACAACTTTCCTAATTTCTAACCTGGTCCACACACTGCTAAGATGTTTAATCATGATTTGTCAATTCTGCTATGATTGGCTGAGGTTTGCACTACTTGCTAAAAGCCAAAACAAACCAACCATATTATAGCTATAAATAAATGTATAAATGTTATTATCTTCAGGCCTCAAGCCTTTCATCTTTGCTAGAATAACACCAGGTTCATCATTCCAGTATCAAGTTACTTTTATGCCCCATTTTGTTTTCTAACGACTCCTCAGAGTCTGCTGAAGTCCAGAAGCATTTTTGTAAATAAAGATGACGCTAGAGGAGATTGGTGTTTTATTTTGCAGCATATCCGTTTCCCTTAAAAAGAAAAAAAAAACACCTCAATAAAATATAGAAATCAGATGGGCCTGGCAGGTACCAAGGGAGGTATCTGCAGCTCCATGTTGGGTATTCCACTAAAATCTATATGCATATTGTATGTTGGTATGTTTTGTAGTTTGGTTTGTAGTTGTGGGGGGTGAGATAAAGTACTTGAGTTGTTGGCCATTTTCTAAGCTTCATATGTGCTTATGGCAGTCATAGTTGTTCAATGTTTCTCAACTTTGGCAATATGAAGATGTGTGGACTTCAACTCCCAGAATTATGGGAGGCTGGTTGGGGAATTCTGGGAGTTGAAGTGCACGCATCTTCAAGTTGCTAAGGTTGAGAAATACTGGTATAGATAGATGGAGATACTGATGTTTAGATCCTACTTTCCTACCCCTGCATGCATATATTCATGCATTGTGATATAAACACACATCAGTTCAATAAACAGGGCTTTTGTTTCTCCCCCATGCAGTCTCCTCCAAGTTCTCAGTGCCTGTCCTGCAAATCTGCGTGGTATGTTCAGAGAATGCACAGTGCGATGCAGGGAGAGGAAGACCAATCCTTATCCTGGTTCTTGAGAAGCATCATCACTGGAAAGGGCTCTTCAAGTTTACCCACAGACTGTTCCTCCACAATGCACATTCCAATGTATAGACGCTGGGATGCACCTCTGTAAGGATGGAGTTTGTGCCATGACATCACTGTGTGCAGGTCGTCATTATGATATAATCTCAATTTGCTGGGGATGGTTATCATTGCATGTTCTCCAACTGTAGTAACTGAACATCGGGGAAAACAACTAACAAATCTACACTGAAGAATGTATTTAAAGAAAAGAATTTGTCCTAAAATACTTTGATAATCCCATGTTTGACTAAATCTGCTTAACCACAGAAACAAATCAACATTATGTACCTTCAACCTTTTCACTGATCTAGCGTCCAACCTTTAAATTGCACTATATATTGTCTAAAGCTGCATACAATTCTGAAACTCAAGACTTTTAGCACATTTTACACCCAAGTAGTAACATGCTTGTTAGTCTTTGCTATATGAGCAGCATGGGAGATAGGCAATGCTTTCCATATTTTAAAGTTTAAAATATTTCTTAGTGTATCAAATCCCAACCATTTTAAGTTAATGTGGCATTCTCACCACAAACCTTATTTACACTATGTTTGCACATATCTAGGCATAATTTAGAAAGATAAATGTTCTTCCAAAGGTACTTGATACTACCTAAACTGAGATTTAGCATTCAAACATTAAGCTGAAGAATCACAGGAAAGCTAAATGAAGTTGCTTAAAAGGAAACATCTGCATGGATTAATGAAGTAAAGAATTAATTTTCAATGATATTTTACAGCAATACATTTCTCAAAGATAAAGGTACTGAAGTATGGTCTTCCTTAATAAAGGCAGCTAGAATTCTATGAAAAAGCCTCTTCAAAACGTGTTAACTTTCATTGTGAACCGCATTAGGTAAATCATGTTGAAGTGTGGGTATGGCATGGTACTAACAACTCTGTGCCATAGTAACACATACACTACTAGACAAATACTTTTTAAACAAGAACTTATTTATTCACAATTCAGATAAATTTTAGAAGACACAAAAAAAACAACAAATGACAATAAACAGGAAAAAAATCTTGTGACAACATGAGTGTGCAGCCAGTATTCAATATATTTTAAAATATTACCCAATCATGGCATATGTGAAATTCCAATCAATCCCAAATGATAAACTTCTACCACTATTCCCTTTGAAAGCAAACTGGGAAAAGGAAAGTCACTTCTTTCTTTACTTATGATCACATGAACAAAATATCATTCAGCCTCTGCATCAAGCAATAATTCTGTGATGTATTTCTGAAATAGCAACTCGTTTCATCCTGTCCAAGCTTTGTTTAGAAGACAGTCAATATCAGTGTTCTTTGACATAACTGTGAAATTCTGCCACTCAGAATAAAAATGTCAGAGCAATGTTACACTTGCAGCTTGTAAGTATCCTTGAAGGAACTGCAAAGCTTCGGCATTCAGGCTGGTACTCAGCATTGAGGGAACCTTAAAATAAATAAGCAATATATATTAAAATGCATTTAAATTACAATAGTTTGAAACAAAAATGTATTATTGCAATTAAACATCCTAGGTTCCATCAATCCTCAGCTACTTACTTGTGTGTGTCCTGTGGATTGTATGCCCATGCTATAATTCCATTCTGTTTCCAGCACCTACACAATTTCCACTATATTCAATTATTGTACCAAAGAGTTGCTGAAAACTATTTCATATATTTATATGAGGGCTGTGCAAATGTTCAAACAGATACTTTACTTCAATGAACATCCATTCAAAATTGCTTTGCAAAGTAACATGACATCTTCCTTCAAGAGAAGTCAAGTCACCATGTTGTTTTGCTTGTCCTGTTTAGCAGCCCCTCCTCAGTGTCCTTTGGCATTTGTGACAGCCAGAAGATGCTTTTATGTATGTGCTGTAGCTGTATAGAATATATATCAAATGACCATTTGTTCAGCAACTATTCGAAGTTACAGTAGCACTGAATGAATGGCACTTACACCGGATCCCCGAAGTTATGGCCAATGCAGTGCCCCTGCAGTCATGTGATCAAAATTTGGGTGCTTGGCAACCTGCCTGCACTTATGACTGCAGGGGTGCTTCAACCCCCCCTGCCTATCTCCCCCCTCCATTTCTGCCCTTTTGGCCGCCCTCCACAGTGGCACTCCTTGATGGCGGCGTTGGGGCTGAAGTAGAAGTCCGGGGCCTTCAGCAGTCTCAGCTGGCCACCACCACTCCCAAGTCTCTCCTTCAGCCCCAGTGCCACCATGGTGTGCCATAGCTACCCATCCCAGCGTAAAGCCCCATTTGCCCCCACCACCCTGCATTCCGCAGGCTCTGCCGTGCCCAGCTGACTTTTGCCATCTTCTTCCTGCTGCTGAAGAGGCATGTGCAGCCTGGCCCTCTGTGAGGCAGTTGCTGGCCGCACTAGGCCTTCTTGCCAAGGCTGTGCATGCCATTCTCCAAATAGCGCACGCTATTCTTAGGATGCTTCAGAAACCTGAGGCTTCTGAAACCTTGTGAGAAAGCTTCACCTACTGTTCTCCAAATTGCACATGCTGTTCTTGCAATGCTTTGGAAGGCTTCCGAAGCTTTCAGAAGGTGTTCTGAACCATTGCAAGAATGGCATGTGCAATTTGGAGAACAGCACAAATGGTCTCAGGAAGAAGGCCTGGCATGGCCAGCAGCTGCCTCACATAGGGCCAGGCCGGGTGCACCTTGCCGGCAGTAGGAGGAAGACAGCGAAGGTCAGCTGGGTCTGCAGAACACAGGGTAGCGGGGGCAGTGGCTGCAGTGCACAGCTTGAGGCGGCACTCGGCGGCGGTGCACTGGGGCTCCAGTAGAGGCCCAGAGATGGTGGTGGCTGGCTGAGAATGCTGAAGGCCCTGGACTTCTACTTCATCCCCAGCATTGCCACTACCGAGGGATGCCACTGTGCAGAGAGGCAGAGATAGGGGGGAGATAGGTGAGGGGAGTTGAAGAAGAGGCAGAGGAGGCAGTCCCCTACCTTACCAAGGCTCAGGGCTGGGAGGGACCAAGCTGGGCTTGGCTTGGGGTGGGTCCTTGCCTAACAACCAGTAGGATTTGGTGAACGACAGCAATGGGGACTGCCTGGATTGTTGTCACTAAGGGATGTGGTTGCATGACATCACGCTTTATGACTCCATCACTTAGTGACAAAAATTCCAGTCCCAATTCCAGTCATAACTTGAAGACCACTGTATTGCTTTCACCTCTATACTTATTCCCACATTAAAGGAACTTACTCTGCCTGGACATGCAGTAGATAATTTATGAAGAGATTGTGCAAGATGGATTTTGGGATTATTCACAATTTGGCCAACTGGATCATGTTCTTTTTTCCCAGCAAAGGCAAGCTGAGAAAATGCAGTCTGGTATCCTGGAGTATCTTCTATATCAATGAAGTGCTCCTCATCAGGAAGGGTGTCATCTTCAGGCAGTTCAAAAAGACCAATAAGGGCCTGAAGGAGGGGTGTCCTGAAAGACCAGAAGATACGTCTCATCAAATTGTTGGTTAGAAGAGAATACCTGATTTATTTATCATAGCTAGAAAAGGGATTGACAATAACTATGACAGTTAAAACAGTTTAGACAAAAGCTTCTTTAAAAAGCCTGCCTAATGCAGCCTATCTTTCTAAAGATGTCCAAATAATTTCTTCTTCCTTTATTCTGTAATATTATATACATACATACATTATTTGTTCATATAATTCAAGTCTCTCTTACATTTCATCAAACTATAACCTCTATTTTAGTAAAGTTAAATATCACTGAAGCTATTCCTGTTACTGAAGAGGGAGCATTTTGTAGTGTGACAGCACTTCAGTTCAGCTTTTGCTTGCACTCTTTACTCCTACTACAGATTTCATTACTTTTGGTTGTCTGAATGCAGAGTACAATCATGGTATAGTTTCCCTTTATTCACACTAGGTTGGATCCAGAGACAAGTAAAACCTCTCATGCAACCAGTTTTCTGGCTCCTCCCCCTCCCCCCAGGTACCCCTAAATGCTGAGGGATACTCTTGAATCTGATACAATGGGGCACGATGGCCTGGGATGTCAATGGGGTTATCTTGTGAAAGTGGAAGTAGCTTTCTATTAATTCAACTTATCCTTAGATCCAAACCACTTACCTACACTCACTTTCTCACTGAGCAATTAGTGTAAGAAACTTATTTTCCTACTTCTCAAACATGGAATATACAATCAAAATTTGCAGGGATCACACATTGTTTCAAATCATTATATAGTTTGTTTTAGGCTTAGCAGAATTGGTGAAGCCACCCACTGTGATTGAACGCTATGTTTGAATCAGGTCATTATAGTGTGAAACTTTGCTTAACAGAGTAATTGGAGAGACAGGATGTTCATTATTAATGAATTGTCTTTTACACTGGAAAGCATCGACCCACAGTGATTTCTGTCATGGTAATTTCTATCTGTTGCATAATAGTGTAATTTTGCAAGTGATACCAATGATGTATTTGCTTAACAAGAGCATCATGCAAATTACATGTGCCAATTTATATCATTTGCATAATGACATCACATACACACTGAAATCCTGTTGTGCTGCCTAATTGTGGTGAATGGGGTGTTCCTGGGAGGGATGAGTGAAGAACACCCAGAGTATACATCCAGCAGGGTCACCAAGCTTAAAAGATCAGCCCAGCTGCCCAACTAAAGCAAGTAGGCACCTATACTGGGCAGCAGCAATATAGGAAGATGCTGGAGGAAGATGATCACTTTAGTGACAACAGCAAAGGCATCATTTCATGCAGTGCGGGAGAAGGCAACAGTAAATCACACCTGTATTTTACCAAGAAAACCACATGAATATAAAATATAAAATTATTCAAGATATAGCACCAGACGATGGGCTGTTAGGTAGGATGGCCCTCAACATGCTACTGAGGAAGAGCTGAGGATCTTTCAGAGTACTAATGGCGCTTATGATGTGGCTAGATTAAAGCCTTTGGGAAATCTAGTTAGCGATGTTGCCATGCAGGAAAAGGAAATCCAAATCCCAAAGTTCTCGCTCAAGGCACAAATGACCAGGCTCAAATGATCATACTTCAAGATGCTTTGGGAAAGGTGAAAGGAAAGAGAAGAGGACAACCAGTAGCAACATGGATGGACTCAACACTGGCGATGGTGCACCATTGGAAGACCTGAAGGGCCATGTTGGGGACATTGTCTTGGAGAAAATCTATGTGGTCACTTAAGAGTAGATACTGACTTGATGGGACATAATTAATCAATAAATAATGATATCATTACACATATGATGTTTATCAATGCATACATTGGTCTGTTCCATGTGTAGTCTTTACACTGAGGCTTGGTAAATTGAGGTTTCTCTAGTTTTTTGCTTCAAAAAAAAATCTTATTTGAATCAATGTGGTATGTGAAGAACAGAAAAGCAAAAACTACCAATGCTACTTAACAAAAGTCTATGGCAAAAACATGTAATAAACTACACAGAGTAGCGGCATAAACTTTGCCACCTTAGCAAATTTTAAATTAAATGCAATATTATTTTTGGATGCAGAATTAATGACCAAGCTTAATTATCAAAATAGTAGCTGTACCTACCATAACTTTGTGTACTCTGTGTCCATCATTGGAGGACATTCTGTAAGTATTTTTGTGATGCCAACTGCACAGATCTTCTTTTCTACTTGCCCTGATACTTTCTGTATTTCTGGTATTATGATTTTCTCCAAAACCATTCCAAACATCCTATTAAGTGCAAAAGAGATAAATTTATTTTTATTTTAATAGGTACCTAGAGTAAATCAAAATTCAACTGTATTGAATTTTGAACAAATTAATCAACCAGCAATCTGCTTCATTAATTCTTTAATAAGTGAAGTACTGTTACTTCCCACAAATTTTTAAGAGGGCTCATCATTCCTTTTCAATAAATAGACCTCAAAAAAATCCTTAAGTATTTGAATTGAACAGATTATTTTTCATCCTTTGCTTCTTCCCTAAAATTAGTTGACTTTCATTCATAAGGGCACCTTAATATACAAAGAACTACCCATGCTTTTTGAGTTCTCCAACTAACTCGAACTTTTTCATGGACAGAAAAAAAGACAGAATAGCTCATCACTGACTCGAATAAACACCCAAAGTATCTGTTAGAATTTCTGGCTAAGCAGGATTTTAGCCAGTTATCAGAATAATAGTCTTCCTGTAAGTTCTGCAATTTACCCTGCTAGAAAAGCTCCAAGCCTCAGTGAAATCTGTATAACTTCCTTTTGCTCAATCACTGTTAGTCTATAGGTGAAAGTTGCTTTTCACTTATGATTTTTTTTTTTATTTAACCCCTTTTTTCCAAACATTTGTCAAAGGTACTTTTTGTATATTTAAGTCCAACAGACTGACGCCTTCTCAAAGCTGAGGACTGGAGAAAGGAGGACATTACCAAGCTAAGGATCATGTTTAACCCTTATCCCAGTGATGTAGCCAGATGTATATCTTTCTCTTCTATTTCGTTTCTTCACTCTTATGGATAAAAGAAAGAAAAACCTGCATACAGGAATATTGATCCAGTAAAGAAAAATCTTGCCCTCCAACTCTGCTATAGATGTATATTTTAACATAAGCATTCCTGAGCAGAGTTCAGAGAGCTGCATCATTTCATCCCCATGATTCATTTGAAATATAAATATTCCACAGACACTAACTTATTATAGCAATAGATATCCAACAGTAATAACATAAAAGGGATAGCCAATCAGGATGGATCTCCAGTGAAAGTATATTATCAGGTTACTGGCATAACACTTATAATTAGCTCTAAAAATACAGCAATTAGTAATCCCTTGTACAAAATAAATGGTATTTTTAAAACATACTAACTTTGGTTGTATACTGTCAAATATTTCTTGAAGTGCTATTGCTCCATATTTTACGCAGTACAAATTGATAAAGACTAAGAAACCTATAAAAAAAGAGAAGAGATTATTGTATTGCCCTATTGTAAAAGATAGTACTAACAGTATGATCATTTGGTACAATCTCTTTCATAAGCACATGGCCCATATTTCTTTCATCTTAGAAATCAAACTGAAAATGAGGGTAAAAACGTTTTGATGTTAATTGTATCAAGTCATCCTCAAGACGATTTCCCAGACTATAAAGGCAATTTACATAGAACTTACTTTTGATAAATTTTGTTGTTTTGGAATTTTGAAGTCTTTGGAAAAGTAGAATGAAAATTTGCTTCCTGTATTGATCAATGGATTCACTAGAAATGAAAAAGAACATAGCATTCTGACTGTTCCATCTAGTGCATCATTGTAGACACTGTTTCAATAATGCCACAATGATCAAATTGTTGGCACCCATTACAAAAATCAGTGGATATGTATGTTTATACTTACGGGGGCATATGTTCTATAATGCTATTGAGAAGGTAGAACCCCTGATGGTCATTAAGCTTAGAAGCAATAAGTTTCTGGAACACTCCTAGTAGTCCAGGCTATAAATTAAGATAAAAAGCAAAACAATCTCTGTTACTGGCTATTGAAAGCGCAGTGAAGAAGCAGGTTAACTACAAAATTGTACCTGATTCAAATTCTGCAACAGATATTGCCCAAGTACAATAATCAAAGAGTCCCGAAGTCAATTTCCTTAACTCTGACTTGATAAGCTATGATTATAATTATCAGCTGTGGGCTAAACATTTATTTAATCAGATTTGTATGCTGCCACAGTGACAAGACTCTCCGTGGCTAATGATATACAAAAATGCAATAAAATACAAAACCATGAAAAAAAAATAGTTAAGACCCAAACAGTATACATGGCATCAAGTCTCAAACCCCCTCCATAAAAAGTCTGTTTTTAGCTTTTTCCGGAAAGTAGGCAAAGTTGGAAACAGATGAATATCCCATGGGAGGTTATTCCTGAGAGCCAGCCCCATCACCAAAAAACAGTGCTTCCAGGCCCCTAACATCCCCCAAATGGGGGACAACCAACTGCTTCTCCTGGCATGAATGGTGTAGTTGGGCCAATTCTAGAGGAGAGATGTGGTCCTGCAGCTAACCAGTACCAAGATATAAAGGTTAATACCAGTGCCTTAAATTGCATTCAGAAGCTAATAGGAAGCTGATGCAGGGCCAGAAAACAGATGTAATATATGTCTAACAGTGCACACCTGTGAGCATTTTGCACCAAAAAACATTTATATGGATGCTGCTTTAACAAGGGTGACACACAATTTCTGAGCCTTCACATACAGGTAGTCCTCACTTAACAATAGTAATTGGGACCAGAATTTCCATTGCTAGGTGATGCAGTCGTAAAGCGCGAAGTTGTGACTGCATTGGTTAGTGATGGCAATCCTGGCAGTCCCCATTACTGTTAAGCGATGACCATGGGTTGTTAAGCAAGGATCTCCTTGCAACTTCCTGCTAGCTTCCAACAAGCAAAGTCAATGGGGAAGCCAGCAGGAAGTCGCAAGTCCGGGCGGTTTGCAAGCAGGCTGGAGGGCAGGTGAGTGCTATGTAGTGTGGCGGGGTGGGGGTGGAGTGGCTACTGTGGCACAGATTCAGTTCTGCAATGTATCTTCTAAGAAAACAGATCCAGTTCTTGAATGTATTTATCTGCTACTGAATCTCTTCAAAGCTTGGCTTA